AGTTGGCTGCCGCCGCGGGGGCGAGGCTGCCCCGCGCCCCCCGCCGCCCCTGCCCGCCGGGGGGCCGGGACCGCCCGAGGGCAGGCGGCGGGAGGGAAGGGAGTGCGGGGGAGGGGGCGGCGGGCCCCGCCGRCCCCCTCCTCCCGCGCTGCCCCCGGGGCCCCCCTCGCCCCCCGACCCGGTCCTTACCACGGGGTTTGTGTTAGTCGAGCTCGCCATGTCCCGAGCCCCCCGGGACGCCCCCAACCGCAGGGGGGGGAGTCGCCCCTAAAACAATAAACCTGCCCGGCTGCGTCCCCCCAGCGCCCGCGCGTCCCGCCCCGGCTGACGGGCGGCCCCGCGGCCTGTGCCGGGCTCGCTCGCGGCCCCGGGGCTGCAGCCGCCGCGCTGCCGCCTCGCCCCTTTATATAGCGCGAGCCGAGCGCTGCGCGAGCGGCCGGCGAGCGGGGGACGCGGGCGGGGGGGAGCGAGGTACCGCGAGAGCTGCCGCGAGACCGCGCCGGGCCCACAGCGGTCACGTGGGGTGCCCCGCCCTCGCCGCCATGACACCTACCGAGGCGGAAGTGGCTGCTCCGGGCGGCCCGGCTGGGCCCTACCGAGGCGGAAGTGTCTCCGCCGCTCTCCGGAGCGCCGCCCCCGCCCGGCGTGTGACGTCACGAGGCGCGCGCGGCAAACGGCGGCGGGAGCGGGGCGGTTSCTGGTCTCGCGCGGGACAGCAACCCGGGATATTTTAGTTTGGAAAAGTCCTGTGAGGCCATGGAGTCCAACAAAGGCCAAACATCACCGTGTCAGCTAGACCAGGACACCTGAGTGTCACGTTCAGTTTTTCCTTAAGCACTCCCATGGGTGTTGACTCCACCAGCTCTCTGGGCAGCCCATTCCAATGTCTAACCACCCTTGATGCGAAGAAATACCTCCTGATGTCATTCATACCCCTTCTCTTTTCAAAACAAGGCATTGCATGGCTACGGTTTCTACCCTGGAACCCCGTCCTAGTTTTTCAGCGTGCTTGCTAAATAGTT